TTAGGGATCAATCTCGAGGATTGCTAGGACTATCACAGAAAGGATATATTGATCGTGTTTTGGAGAGATTCAATATGCAGTTTTGTTCAGCCGGTGATGCACCCATGATGAAGGGTGATAAATTACGTGAAAAACAGTGTCCAAGGAATGACTTGAAAAGAAAACAAATGAAGGACATTCCATATGCTTTGAGGCTACAAATCATGCTTTATGGTTGCGAAATTCCATCTCAAGACTTGGTGTTGTTGACTCAATTGCCAGGCCGCTAAAGATATATTGTGACAATACAGCAACAGTTTTCTTCTCTAAGTATGGAAAGTATTCTAGTGGTTCTAAACACATGGAAGTAAAGTACTTAGTTGTTAGAGAAAGAGTCCAGAAACAATAAGTGTTAATTGAAAACTTAAGAACATCTCTTATGATTGTTGATTCATTCACAAAGGGATTGCCACCAAAGACATACAAAGAGCATGTTAAAGTTGAGGGAAATATGAATGAAATATAATTATTCTTTTTCTCCATTTCCCTTTTCCTTCCCAAATCCATGATCCAAACACGAAGTTAAGATTTTTGTATCAGATTACACCCACACACATGCATACATATTGCATAACAATTATTCAATCAAAGATATGGGCTAAGCTCTTGAATTAATTACCCAAAAGCATCTTAAGCAAGGATAAGCCCATGAGCAACAATTTCTGCAACTAACTTTTCTTGATGAGTTGCAATATTAACACTGAACTTTGCAGCAACGTCAAAAATAAACTGCAAGATTAAAAAACAGAAAAGACAAAGAAGATTTCGAATCAATTTTTACATGAATATGGATCTGCCAAAAAAAAGAAAAAACTAAGTAATCACACGATAGACTAAATATTAAACCACATAGGCATGCAATCAGATAATAGGTTTAATGGAATGTGGAAACCATATCTTGTCTAAGGTTCTCCACAAGTTATAAACAGATTGTAGGACAAAGGTTTAGAATGTTTTAATGGGCCAAGTGGGAGAATGTTGGATTTATTTTTCTAGTGTGGCCCAATAGCCTACATATTTTCTACATGTTTTTAATTTATTTGGATTCCACAAATAGATAAAGCCAATATTTGAGATCAAGTTCAGTAATTAGTATTTTAATATAATCACTCTTCTAAGATAAGAAGGAAACCTTGATGGATTAGAAATTCTTCTGATAGAGTTTATCTGGCTCTCTTCTCTCCTCTATATAAGGATGGGTGACTCCCCTTCTTTTGATATTATTCCATCACTCTAAATTTTATAGTCATCCTAATAAAGTGAGAGACAGAGAGAAGAAGGTGAGCCAAGAATTAAAGGTTCAACTATTAGGGGTATTTTCTCAACTTCTCTAATTCAATGGCTGACAAAGGTATGTTCGTTTTATTCTTGAGTTGTATTGAATTCAAGATCCTGTAAAGTTTAATTCCGCATTATTATTATGGTTACATGTATTATTAAATCTTACATGAATGTCAAATTTTAATTTGTTCAATCAATTAAAATTTAATCCCTACCAATCATTATGAATATATTTAAAAATAATATTTAAAAAATCTATCATATTATTTTATTTTTACTAATAAATTATTTTAAAATTGCCAAAATATCACCCTTAAAATTACCCTCAATAACATCCGCGGTTGCTATAAGTTGAACCAACTAAGACGCAACCTAAAAAAATATATTTTTTATTTATACATCACAATGATTGTTAATATTCAACTATTTAACATTGCTCTTTAAATAAAAACAAAACACTCCTCGCAAAAAAAAAACAAAAACAAAAAACAAAAAGAAACAAACACACAACAACAACAATAATAGGACACACACAGCAACAAATTCAATGAGAGCAACTTTTGATCCATCTCCAAAGTAAAAAATGAGAAAGTAAACAAAATGAATGTGAAAAATACAATGAAGTAAACACATGGGTAGTTGACAGGGCTTTTTTGGGTGGTTGACATGAGTAGATGAATGTGAAAAATACACTGAAGCAATGTTCTTTTTCTTGAGACAAAAGCTTTCCAATTGACAGGGCTTCTTGAGAAATTTCCATTATTTGTCATCTCAGCTCCTGTTATGCAGAATTATATGTCCTCAAAAATAACGTACACTACCTAACATTGCAGTTTAGGTCTTTTTCCAAATAATGCTATGCACAAAATCATTTTTTTAACTGAGTTCTTTCAGTGAAACAAGAACAGATTTCAAAAATAGTCCTTTTGCCTCCTCCTTTGAAGATGCTGTAATTGGACCAATCTCTTCCTGGGCTTCTATAAACTGTAGGCCCATTTTTTGGAGAGCTTCTGTATACACACACCTAATCCCCTCTTTGCACATCCTTCTCACTACACACACCAAAAAAATTAATTTCTAATCAGTTTACTCACTACACACCAAAAAAAATTAATTTCTAATCAGTTTACTCACTACACACACGGTGAGTTCCAAATCTACCCTCATACACACACACACACACACCCCGACCCCAAACCCAGCTCTCCCAACAGTGCAAATACACACACCTATTGAAACTGCAGCTACATCTTCAACCTTGAGGATTTAAGCTTACCGTGTGCGGATACATTGAAGCATTCCATCACATAGAAGCTTACCGTGAGCAACCCAGGTGTGCAAATACATTGAAGCATTTTCATCCACGAAGCTACATCCCATTGAAGCATTCCATCAGATTTTCAATCCTCATTAGGTGAGTTTACTTTTGAATCATCATTCCTATTCAATCCTCATTTTCAATCCTCATTGTAGAGTTTTTCATCTGTAATGTAGAGTTTTTCGCTTGGAATGTAGAGTTTTTGATTTGAAACCGTCGTTCGGAACTGGTTAACCGAAATATAACAATGTGTTCAGACGTAGCAATCCGAAAATAATCAATAATTTCATCAGTAGATTTCCGAAAATGTTACATTGTTTCGATAGTCAACTTTCGAAAAAATTGAATTTGGACAACACTCAACTTCCGAAATTATGTTTTTGTTTCGGATTTCAACTTCCGAATAGAATATGTATTTTCGGTTGTGAACTTCCGAACAGGTTTTTTTTTTTCCCCCTTCTGTTGTATATTAAAACACTTAATTAAAACACTTATTATAATTTACACACACTTATTATAATTTTGTTAAACACTTATTAGTAATTTCACTTGATTAAGCACTTATTATAATTTCCCCACCATGGGCATGTATATTGTTGCTTGCATGGACATTCTTTATTTACACACACTTATTATAATTTTACACACACTGTCATTACACACACTTATTATAATTTTACACACACTCTCATTAATTTTACACACACTCTCTTTATTTACACACACTCATTACACACACTTATTATTTTTTGTAGATAATATGGATTCTGAATATCAACAACGTGTCCCACCTATTGCTTCAAATAGACGACGTCGTGAATTTGATGTAGACCATGAACGGGGACGAGGGCGTGGGCGAGGACGAGGTCAAGGTCGTGGTCGAGGTCATGATCCAGTTTCGGTAGAATATGATATTCCCAGTGCCAGTCAAAGTGGGGGCCGAAGCCAAAGACGAGTTGAAGGTTATGATATGCCTGACATTGCTGTGGAGGATACCTCTTTACCTGATTCTCCTCCTGTCCAGGAAGAGGACCGTACTCATGCTTTTCCAGGTGGACCGACTGATCTATCAATACTGCGGACCTGTGAGCCCTCATATCAAAAGGACAACCACACTTCTTCGTACCGGTTATTCTTGATGTATTGTTGCCATCATGTTTTAACTTCTTTGTTGCTCTATATTGGTCACTCCTCTCACAAGCAAGATACATCCTGGGTCTTTTTTTCCCTCCACCATAGTCTGATGTTTTGATTACAATGACCAAACCATTTCTCTTTTCAACTTCATGTACCCAGTTGAGCAATTCATCATTACTTTTGAATACCGACAAAGTTAAATAAATATTATCAAACATTTACATTTAGTGAGCAATTCGAAACATAATCATTATAATTTCGTAGAGTGAACCTGTTCAGTTGTGAATTGAGTGGTGTAATTCAACACAAAATCCGCGCAAACCTGACTTTCTTGAGTTGACACATATTCCTGCATGTTTTGTATAACATTACAAATTTTTAATGGCATTATAAAGATTAATTTGCAATTCGAAACTGTAAATTTGGTATACAGTTTGCAAAATTTTTTTTTTTTACTTCATTCGGAAGTAGTTGTCCGAATTTATTTTCAACTTTTGGAAGTTGAATGTTGTAAAAGTTAACTTTGTTCGGACAATAACTTCCGAAATTAAACAATTTGTTCGGACAACAACTTCCGAAATTTATTACTTTGTTCGGACAACAATTTCTGAAAATAAATAATTATTTTGGTAGTAGATCTTCGAACCAAATAACACAATTCAGCTCTGGTTATCCAAACGACACTGAAAAAAAAAGAAAAGAAACTCACATTTCCTTCGCTATGTTTCTCATAAACACTTATTTACTGATTTTCAGAAGACAAATCCTCCTTAACAATGATGAATGAGGAAGAAGCTACGAATGAGAAAGGTTGAGAAGCTATGAACTTGGACCTTAATGGAAGAAGCTAAACTTTGAGCTTGAAGAATGAGTGCTTTCACTTCTAGCTCAATGGAAGTAGTTGAACTTGGAACTTAATGAATGAGTGCATTCACTTCTACCTCAATGGAAGAAGCCGAACCTGGAGAAGCTTCAGCTTTAACGTGAAGTCTGGATGTGTGCATTGAGACTTTTGAATTTGGTAGATGTCTAAAATAGTAATTTCACTTAGGGATAAAATTATAATAAAATTAAATATCATTTAGTGTGCGTATTGAGGGGATTAGGTGTGCCTATATTGAAGCTCCCCATTTTTTGGTTTCAATGACGGAAATACCCTTCCATTTGGTATAATTTCACGGTTTCAAGCCACTTGGTCAATAATCTTTCATCTAAGCGTAGTCACCTTCACACTCAATCCTCACCCCACTCTCTCTCTCTCTCTCTCTCTCTCTCTCTCTAACTTCTGCATCCGCAGCCTCCATAGACACTGCCTTGTTTCTCTCCTCCTCCTCAAGACCCAAAACCCACCTTAAACCCTGATTCTCCAAAGGATGAAACTCTTGTTCTTCCCCAGAATATCTCCAATCTCACCTCATCCATGAAGCTCCCACCTTTTCTTCTCAGACCAATCTCTCAATTCTCTTCCACCACATCAAAGCTCCCTCCACTCGCCACTGCCTACGAAATAACCACTCACGAGGAAGTCCTCAGTATCATCAATTCATCGACCCCCATGGAACCTGAACTCGAAAAGGTAGTCCCTTTTCTCTTGCCTGACATTGTCAATTCTGTATTTCAAGAACAGCTAAATCCCGAACTGGGTTTTCGATTTTTCGTCTGGGCATCGAAGAGAAGGAAATTTCGTTGTTGGGTTTCGTTTGATTTTATTATTGATATGCTTGTTAAGGATAATGGGTTTGAATTGTATTGGAAAACTCTCGAAGAGCTTAAGAGTTGTGGGGTTCCTATTTCGTCTGATGCTTTCACTGTATTGATTTCTGGGTATTGGAAGTTGCGAATGGCTGAAAAGGCCGTGGAAGCTTTTGGTAGAATGAAAGACTTTGATTGTAAACCTGATTTGCATACGTATAATATGATTTTGCATGTTATGGTTGAAAAAGAGGTGATTTTGTTAGCTTTAGCTGTGTATAATGTGATGTTGAAGTCGAATTGTGCTCCAAATTGCGCCACTTATAGCATTTTGATCGATGGGTTGTGTAAAAGTGGCAAGACTCAAGACGCTCTTAAGCTGTTTGATGAAATGACTCAAAGAGGTATACCGCCTAATAGAATAACTTTTACTGTTATTATTTCAGGTTTGTGCAAATCAAAGAGAGCTGATGAAGCACATAGATTGTTTAATACAATGAAAAGAAGTGGGTGTTCTCCTGATACGATTACATATAATGCTTTGCTCAATGGGTTTTGTAAGTTGGGGAAAGTGGATGAAGCGTTTATGCTTTGTAGCTCTTTTAAGAAGGAAGGGTATGCCCTTGGGATAAATGGGTACAGTTGTTTGATTGATGGTCTGTTTAGAGCCCGGAGATATAACGAGGCACATGATTTGTTTCAAAAAATGTCTGAAGAGAACATCATACCCGACCTTGTTTTGTACACTATTATGATTCGGGGTTTAGCTGAAGCTGGCAAGGTCAAGGATGCATTGAAATTGTTGAGGGTGATGACGGAGAAAGGTGTGGCACCAGATACTCACGGTTACAATACTCTGATCAAAGGGTTTTGTGATATGGGTCTCTTGGACCAGGCTCGGTCTCTTAAACTTGAAATTTCAAAACAAGACCTCTTCCCAGACACTTGCACCTACACCATTCTTATTTGTGGTATGTGTAGGAATGGTCTAGTGGGAGAGGCACGAGAAATATTTAATGAGATGGAGAAGGTTGGATGCTTCCCTTCTGTTGTGACCTTCAATGCTCTTATTGATGGGCTTTGTAAGGATGGTGACCTTGACGAAGCTCACCTTCTGTTCTACAAAATGGAGATCGGGAAGAGTGACCCTATCTCTGGGTATTTACAAAGAACGGAAGAAATCCATCATTATTTCTTCGGCTTTCCCAAGGCACAGATCGGGTTCTTGATAGTGCAAGCCTCCAAACAATGGTGGCGAAATTGTGTGACTCAGGATTGATTCTCAAAGCTTACAAGCTTCTCATGCAGCTTGCTGATAGTGGGGTTCTTCCAAACATCACAACTTACAACATTCTGATCAATGGCTTCAGCAAAGCAAGAAACATTAATGGTGCTTTCAAGCTCTTCAAGGAGCTCCAACTTAAGGGGCATTCCCCTGATTCAGTTACATATGGCACACTCATTGATGGGCTCCAAAGGGTTGACAGAGAAGAGGATGCCTTTGGGGTCTTTGATCAAATGAAGAAGAATGGATGTATGCCTAGTTCAGCAGTTTACAAGTCGCTTATGACTTGGTCTTGTCGAAAGAAGAAAATCTCTGTTGCTTTTAGTATTTGGTTGAAGTATTTGAGGAGCCTTCCTGGTCGGGATGAGGAAGCAATTAAAGTAGCAGAGGAGCATTTTGAGAAAGGAGAACTGGAAAAGGCAGTTCGAGGCTTACTTGAACTGGACTTCAAAGTGAAGGATTTTGATTCAGCACCTTATACCATTTGGATCATTGGGTTGTGCCAGGCACGAAAGTTGGATGAAGCATTAAAGCTGTTTTCCATTCTCGCGGAGTGGGGGATCAATATATCTCCCCCTAGTTGTGCCAGATTAATCCATAGTCTCTGCAAAGAAGAGAATTTAGACGAGGCAATAAACATTTTCTGTTATACTATGGAGAAAGGTTACATGTTGATGCCACGAATTTGCAACCAGCTGCTCAAGTGTATACTTTCTAAAGGAAAATCAAACTATGCTCTTGATCTTCTGAACAGAATGAATTCTATGGGATACGATTTGGATGCCTATCTTTATTCTTCGACCAAGTTCCGTTTACATGGTCATTGGAACACACGGGAAATGGAAAATGTATCACCTGGATAAATCTGGTACTGGAGTGGCTGTCTGGTGTCCAGTTGCCATCAGGACAATTGTTGTAAAACTCAAATTATGTTTTATCCCTAATACAATTTATTTAAAATACAAATAAATTATAAGGCCTATCTTCTATTTTCTGCACATGTGTAGATAAATATACATGTTGCATCAGGTTCAGAGACTGGATGGTTGGGTTCGTCAAGGGAGAGGTGATGCAAGCTTGGCCCTGTCAGGATAAAGTCTTGATTCCACCCCTGATTGTATCTAAGTTTTCGGTAACCATCTTGCTGCAAAACTTACTTTCTTCCTTTCTTTTTATGCTTATATATCTTTTGTAGTTCAGTTTCATTTTTAATTTGTAATGCATGAATCTACCACTTATTATTTACATGACCTCTTCACAAGACAGAAAATGACTTTGTACAACTTCCAAGTTGTGGTCTTGAATCAAAAATCTTTTTCTCTTATCATATTTTCCAAAATCCTCTATCAAACTGTTTTCAGATAACTTTTTTTTAACTTTGGTCATGGAGACTCTTTACAAGCTGCTCCCACTTATGCTCATCAGTTTCCTTCTTTTTTATACAGGTCTTATTGCATATCTGTGATCCTGTATGTTGTTAAGTGCGGGTCATTACTGGAGTTGTCAAAACTTGGAAATAGGCGCTGGTATTGTAAAACCGCGAGCATGACACAAGCATGAATAGGGCCCACTTCTTTCGGCATACAACAGATAGAGAGCATCTGCTGAATTGGTTAGGCAGATGTAGCGAAGGGAGAGGGGGTGGAGGTGATGCAAGCTTGGCCGCTGTCAGGATAAAATCCTGATTCCACTCTGATTGCATCTAAGTTTTCTGTAACCATCTTGCTGCAAAACTTCACATTCTTCCTTTCTTTCTTGGCTTATATATCTTTTGTAGTTCAGTTTCATTTTAAATTTGTAATGCATGAATCTACCACTTATTATTTACATGACCTCTTCACAAGACAGAAAATGAATTTGTACAACTTCGAAGTTGTGCTCTTGAATCAAAAATCTTTTTCTCTTATCATATTTTTCAAAAATCCTCTATCAAACTGTTTTCAGATTACTTTTTTGACTTTGGTCGTGGAGACTCTTTAGAAGCTGCTCTCATTTATGCTCATCAGTTTCCTTCTTTTTTATACAGGTCTTAGTGCATATCTGTGATCCTGTAAGTACAGGTGATTACCGGGAGTTGATAGGACTTGGGAATAGGCTTACCTAAATGCATTAGCTGGTGTTGTGAAACCCCGAGGCATGACACAAGCATGAATAGGGGGCCCACTTCTTTCAGCATGCAACAGGTAGAGAGTGTTTGCTGAATTGGTAAGGCAGATGTAATGAAGTTGATCACTAGCAACGTATGAGAGGCAACTAAAGACTATCACCTCCTATGCTGTTACAGCTTTGTTGGCTATACTTATGCTTACCATGATGATTCAGTTGACGATCGTGATCTTTTCGTGGTTAATGTCAGATGAAACAAAGCTTAGGGTGTGGTGAGATGTGCCTTCTTCTATGAGAATTCTCTTTGGAATTTGGAGTTGAGTGAGGATGAAAGTACCATCTGAATTCTTGACAGTGATTCTGTGATCTTTATCTTCTGCACCTTCTCCTTCTTCGTCTTCTCCTTTTCTTTGGTCTGGCTCTTAATGCATAAAAAAGAGGAGAACAAAAAAAAGAATGAACAATGGTCATCTTCTGTCTGTAAGTGGAGATATCGAAACCTGGGTTTTGCCCAGTATTTTTCTTCCGCAGAACTGGTGTATGGAACTCACAATTTCTCCAATGTAAGAGTATTTTTCAAGGTGAGATTTTACTTATATGATTTACATGTACAATGGGGTTCATACACGTTGAAGCAACATTGTTTTTTGGATTCACCTCTGCATTGCTTTATAGGTGGATCATGGTGTGCTCACCCAAACCACAAGGCCTTTGGCAAGACAAGGTATTGAGGTTATGAAATTTGAAGCCTTATCACCAAATCTTCCAAATGAAGTGCCTATTCAATTCATGACTATAGAACAACAATTTCACACGGTGGTTCAAAGGTTTCTTTATTGTCGAGGTTTTCTAATTATCGGTTATCCTAATAAAGCCCAGGATGCAGTGTCTGAGAATGGACTTCTATTGCTTGTTTCATCTTGCTTTCGCTCCTCCTGGTAGTCATGCTATATACTCTTATGTTCTACTTCAGCAGGCATGCATTTCTAGCATTAAGTCATGTCCTACAGAAGCCGAGGCTGGAAGCATTTATGGATTTATGAAGCGTGGAGCTGTTATGTTTGTCCTTGTCAATAATCTCCTTTGCGTATACAGTTATGGTATGTGTTGAGGTTATAGTTGTAGATGATCTTGGTCTCCTAGATCGGTCTATTTGGTAGCTGGCATTTAGCTAAGAAAGGGGATTAATACTCTGTTATTTAATAGTGGTGACATACGTTAACCTCCAGTCCATGTTGTAGTGTATTCTGTTGATTTCAATACAATTTTTATGAAATAGAATGGTTTTTGATTGATTGATTATCGTTGTTGTAAGCTATAAATCATGTCTTTCAGTTCTACTGCAGCAAGTGCATTGTGATGGATTCTTTTTCTTTTCCTTTCTTGGGCCACCTTAGAAAAAGTCTAAAATGTAAAATTTGATCACAGAATCGGACATAAATTAAAAAAAGAAACTTATCACATAAAAAAGAAACTTATCACATATATATATATATATATATTTGTATCTTTTGATGCTTGGTATGACGATTGTTGTGATCAACCAAAAGTAATTTTATTTGCATAGAAAATGTTTCAATTTTGAAAGATGAAAAATAAATTTCAAATTAAAATTTTACTAATCCCACTCTACCCTGTCACCACCACATCATCACCTACTTCACTCCCTCCACCACCACCACCTTGCCATCGCCACTAATACAAGCATGAACACAATAGTTTTAAAATCACAATCAAACATAAAAAGCTAAAAAAAAAAAATTAAAATGTATTCTATCAAAACACACAATTCATGTGAAAGGAAAGTAAATGCATTAGAAGAGGAACCCAGATTAACCACTCCACCATATCAAAATAAAGCAGAGTATCCATCTAACAAAAGGCAGACACTATTTTTCAACTCAACTTGTTTATTTACAAGTTTCCTATATAAAACATACTTGACACAAGTCATCTTTAAAGTACAAAAACCTTCTCATACACTATGGCATTATTCTGGTATACAATTCTCTGAAACATCAACTAAAGATAAACCAAAAAATAAAAATAAAAAAATTTGTTATACTCCTATTATACAGCTCGCTCTCTGTTTTCCTTCTCCAAAACCCATACAGTACAAGTATGCAACCGTATATATAACTCCTCATCCTCAAGATAGTCCAAGATGTTGATATAATTCCTCCTGCACAGCGCAAATGCATAACTTGATTTTCCCGAGTTAAAGAAAAATATGCTTTCCCACTGCATTCAGTTAAATGTAGAGCGGATTGTTATTCCTCCTGCTGGAAAAAGGTATAATCTGAACTGGTCTCTGTCTTTGTCACCTGCAAGAAAATTTGAACAATTTCATTAGGTATCAGATCATGAGGGACCTGCCAAAAATATCATCAACGATAATCAAATTAAGAAGAGATTTATTTCCCTTGAAATCAGCCATATGAACACTTTGTAGAGAAATTTTTAACTTAATGGTTAAGTCAATTATTGCCTCCGTTCTCAGGCCCGAGCTTTTACCATCGCACGAAGAATTATTTGCTTCTAACAACAATTGAAGGAAGTCAAAACAAGTAAACCACAAAAAAAAAATAAAAAAATACTGCAGTTACTAAAAGATTTGCAATCATCATCTCCTTAAAAAATGAATTTTATGAAAGCAAAATCCAAAAAGGTTTCATTCAACAAATTTCCTCATGAAAACAACTTCACACATTTGCCACGAAATATCAGAAATTCAAGAACACATAGCGTGCCTCATATTGTCAAGATTTTGATTAGTACAGGACATAACTTCTTGATATCCGACTAGTAAACATGCCTGAACTTTTATTCTCATCATTCTAATATTTTACGAATTCTTAAACCAACACACACTTCAATAATAGATATACCAACCTCAGCAGCACGAGGAAGTCCAGGAGGAAGAACAGGAACGAGTGTTGTCCAAAGAACGGGATCTGATAAGGGATCGATAGTGTTGTAGTTGGTCAGAAGCGGTGCAGACAAAAAAGGAGCCAATGGGTACATATTTCTCTGAAGAGGCAGTCCCCCTCCACCCGCTCCCAGTGCAACTCCAAGTCCCTCACTTCTTCCATCATGACTTGATTTCTCAACAGCCTTGCCATAGTCCATTTTGCTGATTGTACATTTGTTTTCATTCTCGTCATTGTCGGTTTTATTTTCTTGCTTCTTTGATGCTTTCTCTTGCAAGCTCTTATAGGCAGCGGATCGTGACAAGATGCTCATGGCAGACAACGAGCCTTTTTTTTTCCCTTCATGGAACATGCCCAAACGGGGCATCTGGTAGGGCTCAGTTGGCTGGATTGCCCATTCCAATGTTTTAAGTTCACTGCCAATATCATCAGAATGTCCATGTTTTGTTTCCTCTGAAGATTTTGAGAGAGAATCTGATTGACGGCTTTTGCTGGGTCCCCACCACTTGATGTAAGGTGTCAGATCAATCTTTCTCTCAATACAAAAACCACCAGAATATTCACCTTCATCTTCACCTGTACCTTTAGCATGATGAAACTATTACTTGGTAGCTAATACAAGAGATAATTTATGAGAAAGAACATAAAAAATTCAAAAGCTTAAATTTTATTAACTACGAAAAGATGGAGTAAATAGATAAAATATAGTTTCTTCATATTACCATAATTTATGCTGTTGAAGTAATCAGGCCCAGCCATACGACCAAGTGATGGGTCCCATCGACTACATAATGATAGCACATAACATGGAAAAGAAAGCAGAGGATGTTATAATAAATTAAATGTACTGATGTAATATAAAATTTATGTACCTATTGAGGAGGTTCAACCCTACTTAAAACGAAGGTGTGACTTCCTCAATGACTGGAATGGACCACTAGAATGAATTTAAGTTTTTTTTTTTTTTTTTGATAAGTAAAAAAAAAATATATTTAACAGGCCACTAGAGTGAATTTAGTTTATGGCTAAGCTTTGGCACTGGACACAGTATGTAACAACTTAATTGGAAACAATGTCATTTACACGGTTAATAACACGATATACTTCCAAGAAGAAAAAAAATTAGAAAGGATAATGTTATAACTATGATTGAGTGCATTGCAGATGTCACTAATTTGCCCAATTGGGGATTAATAACTGCAAAAACCTTCATCATACTACAAATATCAACTAGAATCAAATGCCTTTTAGGTTTCTTCAACACTTATGTGATCATGACACAAGCTGATGCAATAAAATATGAGCCGCATGCTCAAAAGCTTTCAACTTGTGAGCACTTGTGAAAAGGCATAGGTTGTGCTTGGTTGGATTTTTGAAATATCTTTTTTGTTCTTAGAGTTACAGAAAACGAAAAGCTGATAATTTGATTGGCTCATTGTTGTTGTAAATTGAATTTAAAAGAACAAGTTTATCATAAAACACCAGAATGTTGAAATCTGCCATCACCGACCTCTAGAAGGACCCAAATAAACAATTTTCACAGCATTTGAAAAGCGATTCAGAGAACCCATTTTTTTGAAAACTATGCAAAACAGTCCCTATGATATCTGAGCCAACAAAGAAAAATGAACCATGATAATGAGGACCAACTATAGTATGTATCAGGTATTATGTGTTTTCATTGTGTTTTACAATTATACCTGGAAAGTGCACGATATTTGGAGATTCCTCTTGAGAAACCGCTACTCTTTCTGCAATAAACATGTATTATTATAAGCAACAGTACAGTTCTATAAAGCTACATATATGGCAAGTTTCGACACACCTTCGTAGAGATGCAAGGTAATCCTCTCTTGAGACATTCTGCATCTCTTCTAGATCTCTTGTATAATCTGTGACCTACACCAAACATTGTGCATCAACATACATCAAAAAAATTCACCAGGACCCATTGCTACACTATTTCAAATCTTTGGCAGGGCAAAAGCAAATAATCCGATTGTTTCTACACTATTTCATTGATTAACAAAATCTAAAATAAATAAATGAATGAAACAAGTGAATTGTTTCTCAATTTTCTTATATTTAAAGAAAGAATATTTTCAATCTTAAAAAGGAGTTGCAAAGATATAACGTCAGTGTTTTTGTTAACAAAAATCTCATCTAAAAGCTTAAACTTTTGGGATAACTGGTTAGTTAATATGGCATTAGAGTTTTGATTTCAGGAGGTCTTGACTTCAAGTCTCATTGCATATATTTGCTCCCTCATGTTTGTTATTGTGCATCTTGTTCAATTCCGTTCATGTGTTAATTTGTTTCTCCACATGCGAGAAGGTGTCATACCTCACACGTGAGGGATGGAGTTGGAATTTCCTAATAACTTAAACTTGTGGGAATACTGGTGATCTAATAGCTTCTATTTGTCTTGTAAATCTAAAAGCTTCAAGAATGTGATATCTCACGGGAAAATTGATGAGCGTCCCTGGGCCCCAGTATTTCAAGGCTGCAAGATCATATGCTCTGGCTGCAGCCTCCTCGTCGTCATATGCACCTGTAATTGCATTCTCCGAAAGTCAAAACTAATGAAATAAAAGAGGCAATAACAAGTCCAAAAAATGTACAAATATCTACTCACCCAAGTAAACTGCAGAAATAGGTTGTTCACCAGTCAATTTGACATTTCCATGCAATGTGAAAGAAGCGGAAGATGTTAGATTTGAAAAAAAAAAACACAAGTACCATGCCACTTTCATAAGCATGTGCAAAAATAAATATGTGCATGTGATATGTGTATATGTAGAGAGAATGACCTTGCTTTCCCTTCTTGTTTTGATTTTGGTTCCAAGTACTTTTATCCCAAAGGTGAGCTTCGTAACGACCAGTCCATCTATGCCTGTTATTTCATCAAACAAAAAACGTGAGTCACGATTTTGAAAAGAAGTGGAATAAATATATATCTTTAAAGGTGAACACCTCAAAAGTATTTAACAAAACACAACATAGTAAAAAGCAGGGGGGGAAAAAAAAGGTGAAATCAAAGGAATACCACCATTTCTCATGGTTTTTAGTCGCACCTACCTATGCATATCCCTACTCAGGTGAAGAGTGACCCTATCTCTGGGTATTTACAAAGAAGCAGGACAGCCCTTTGAAGTTGAAATTAAAAAAACACCTTCGGTACTGTCACATGTAAACATCACAACTCTTATAGAGTGTATCTTTATAATCTCCTCAACCATAATACAAGTATGCACAATAATACAACATATGGTTGTTTAATGTGCTGACCATTACAACATCTATAGATAAAGGTGAAAGGAGAAAAAGGCCAATATCAACATAATCACCACCTCCATCACATGGCAATGTTATGGAGGAGCAATTGGCGCTCACCTAGGAGGTCAATTCACCAATATTACTATCTAGTTTATGTGGTTTTCGTAAACAACTATAACAGTTGATGAATGGACAATAGATTATGTAAACCTAAAATGGCACTCAAATTACACGACACAATTCAAAATTGTTGTTCAATCAAGATTGCATCATTGATCTTGAAAAACCACAACAAATTCCAATTTAGGACATCAACGATATGAGACAAGAATTCTTTTTAATGTATTTTCATCATCCACTACCAATAATTCCATGTAAAATACTTGAAAATCCTCAATCAAGAATGTGTCCAATGTACAATTGGACTTTGTCACAACAAAAAATCCTTCACAAAATACTAATATGATTGGATAATGAACAACAAAAAAAATTAACCATTGGCAATCAACAAAAGTCAACTTCTTTCAATATGTGGTGAAATTAATATCTAGATGTGTAAACAAAAAGTGTTGATCATTTCTTAAAATTCAATGCATCTTCAAGAGAAAGAAGGAGAATTCTGGATCAATTGATACTAGCAAATGCCAAAAAATAAACTACCACCATTACCCAAAGTGTTCATTGAATTTCTATAAATCTAACAACAAAAACTCAATCCTTCCTAGATTTCTCATAATTTCACAAAACTAATACGTGTACTTCTAAGGCTCCGTATATCTATAGTTGTATGTATAGTATGTGTATGTATGTATATATACCTGGTGACACCTCGGTAAATGGAGCTGCGTTTGCCGGCGGCGCAAGGGGGCATCTTACTGATTCGTTCTTTGGCCGTACATCCCCTCTCTTTTCTAGCTTTCTTCAGTCCTCTGTACAGCAACAGCTGATCGTTCGCTATCACGGCCGCTTCTGAAGTTTCTCCGCCGCTACCACCACTTCCACCACCGCCTCCGCCTCCAGTTTCGGCTTTCAGAGCAGGTTCAGACGAAGACGAAGCCATACTTGAAGTGAAGAAACCCTAAGAGAGAGAAAACAATCAGGGGAGAGTAGAGAGAGAGTAGAGTTTTGAGGAGAGAGAGAAGGAAGTCGTTTGATTTCACCGAAGAGGAAAACAACAGTTGGAGAGAGAGTGCGGCGGAGAGTGAAATTACGAAAGACTCCGATGATGATTTGGTTGAAAAGTGGGGACACAGAGATCAGATTAGATTGTAACGGCTACGATGGGGACAAGGGTATTTCTGTAATTTGAATATTTATTTGAAACTGTTTTGACATACCACGTGGAGCTCTACTATATCTGTCCCCCACCTACACACCCTAGTAACGACACGACGGCGTATTATTACCGAAAACGGTCAATTTTTAAAATTTTCCTAGCCCTAAATCATTTCATTTCTTTATTTTTTATTTATATATTGTTTTTTATAAAAAATTAAAATAATATTAAAAAGATCATTTTTGTACTGTATTGTCAATACTAAAATAATTATAATAGATTTTACCATTCATATCAATTGTCTAATGCAGTGTTTATTGTCGATTTCCTGATACAATAAGAATAGTAAAATGAGTGGTAGCTCAAAATTATTGTGGCCCGAATGGCTCCCCCCCCCAAAACGACGTCGTTTTGGGCTGTCTTTTTTTTCTTTTCTTTTTTTTCTTCTTTATTTCTTTCCTTTTCATTCTTTCCCCTTCATTCTTTCGAACATAGAGACAGAGAAGGAAGAGGAGAGGAGGGAGAGGGAGAGGGAGAGAGAGAGAGAGAAGAGGAAGAGAGAAGAGAAGGAAGATCGGTGATGGCGCAGTGATGGCGATCGGTGATCTGAAGCTATTGAAGATGATGATGATGTCGAAGATGATGATAATGATGATGATGTTCAAAATCTGAAGTTGTTAAAAAAAAAAATTTGATCTGGATGATGACAGTGCAAAAAATTCTATTCTGTATATTTATTTATTTTTTACTTGTTCTGGATCTGAAAAAAAATAAATAAAAAAAAGTTGTTGATGATGATGAATTCAAAAAAAAGTTGTTCTGTTCTGTATATTTTTTTTGTTGAACCAACAAGAAGAAAAAAAATTATTTATTTGCAGAACCAAATTTTTGTTGTTGATCTGTAGAACCAGATTTTTTTTTTTTTTTTTTTTTTGTTGATGTTGATAAGCACAACTCTAGACGGAGGAGCTAAACCAGACATCCACGTCTAGAGATGTTGATCTGGATGTTGATCTTCAGATTTGGATGTGGATGTTGATCTGGACGTTGATCTTCAGATCAAAGACCAAATTGTTCATCTTCTTCTTCTCTTTTATTTATTTCTTCATTGATGTTGATCCGAATGTTCATCTTCTTCTCTAGACCAAATTATGCAGATCAACATCTAGAAATAATTTATTTCATATTCAGAAAAAACACGAAAAAAAAAAGACACCAAAACGACATCGTTTTGATGTCGAGCCAAATTCGAGCCTCCGAATTTCGAGTTACGAATCGGAACTGATAAGAATATAATCATAATAGTTTTATTGCAAAATCAAAAATAAAAGTCACACCAAATATTCAATTTCTATCAAATTTGTTACAAACAAGAATGGCTAGGCATATACGTACACGCCAAAAAAAAGGAAAGATCAAATTATGTTGTGTTGTATCTGCTAATCAGATCAATTATCAAAGGTCAACAGAGTGAGTAATTATTTGGACCAACATAAAAAAGTAAGATTCATCCTTAACAAACACACATACACCCCCACCAAAAAAAAAAAAAATGTCCCGCCGGTTCATCTAAAAAAAGAAGTGGATGTTATGAACTTGAATAGACAAAATTTCATTAGATTAATTAATGTGTCATTAGCACTGAAAATGAAAATGCTATCAATGAAATGAAAAATAGATAAAAAAAACTCAAAAGTTATCATCCAAACACTACAAGCAGAGGGGTTTTCCAGTGGTTTACAAGACTAGAAACATAAACAACATACGTTGGAATCATAATTGAAAATCATCTACAAATATATTTTAGTGTACAATGTTCAGCCTTCTAGCATTGTATTGCACCAATCACCCAAATATAATAGCTTGGCAAGAACTGAAGGCTTTTTTGCTCCTAGAATGACCCCAAAGATATCAAACATATTTGCGCTTCCGCTCGATGTCCCATTCTTTGGTTCTTGCATGCTTTCCCAAAAAACATGATATCATGTTAACTCTTCCACACCTATTCTTCAATATTTCTGTTGTTTCCTTCCCACTTTTTTGTGCTCAGCCGACTTGGTAACTCCAAATTTTTTGCTTACTTTTGTTTGCTTCGCCTGTGTGTTTCTGCTCTCTGTTTGACGCCTTTTAAAATTCCTCGTTTTGTTTCTTGCACTTCCCTGTGATTGACCCTTTCTATCGTGATAAGAATTGCCATCTTCTTTCACAGGTCTCATTCGCTCATTTTTGCTGGGTATGAAGCCTTTGTGTTTCTTCTCCCACATTCTCTCTCTAGGTTCCATTTTACCACCATCTTCGGATGGAGTGCTGAATTCACTGTGTTTCCTCTTCCGTTGCCTCCTAAATAAAATGTGCAAGTTAAACAGCAATGAGAAATGTGAATCAAAACTTAGAATTTGGATAACATCAAAAGCCATCATTTTTTTGTATAACAAACCCCCTGGAAGATGACTCCGAAACTTTCGGTTCTTGATCAGTAGTGCTGGTTTCCTTGGAACTTGTTTTGCCATGGCGATTCTGCAACAAAACAAGCATGTTGCAAATTACGCCACATTACATACAGGGGATTCTTGACAAGCATAAACAGAAAGAACTCATCACCCCCACAAAAAATAAAAAAAAAGGATTAAAGAACCTTCTCTTTTTCTTCTGCTAAAAAGAAGATTTTTGTCCACATGTTCAAAATCCATTTAGCTGTAAAAAGCATTACAGCATAATAAAGTTTAGGCTATGAGGGAAGAAATTCAAGTCAGCTGCAAAAAAGCATTGCAGCCCTAACAGAGCTGGCTGGACAAGGAATTCAGCTCCTTCAACAAGCTTTCGCTCCACAAATCAGCATTCTCAATTTTAAAAGAATAATGCTATATACACCAATTAGTGCACTAACTAGTGTACCAATTAATGATGTGGCATAATTTAAGAGGTTTTTGGTATTTGTAATGTGATTAATGAGTGAGATTAATAATAATGCCATAACTAACATTGATACACTAGTTAGTACACTAATTGGTGCATGTAGCACCACCGATTTTAAAACCTACCCACACTGGAGAAAAATTTATTGGCCCACCTAAGTGCTACTTTTCTTGCATAAAACCAGAATGCATTTGAAACACGCCTCACTGACTTCAGACAGTAGGTTAAGAAAAAAATCTCATCAATTGCACATGATACCATATTAAGTTTCAACAATACTAAATATTTCGTTAAACATATGTTGATCTCAGCTGTATTGACATCAATGTCAACGATAAACTTCAACGCATTTACTTGTAAGGGATAAAAGTAAGCTCATATTGGCACTTGACCCAGAATTCAGGTGATTTCGTTTCCAAATTGTCGTAATATATACACACATATATATATATATAGAGAGAGAGAGAGAGAGAGAGCATACCGCCATGACGCTCTTGACAAAATTCTTATGTTTTTCAGGTGCAAGCGACTCAACTGTTGCAACGCCACACTTACGCATCATGATCTCCAGAATAATTGTGACCTGTACTATGATGAAACAAGCATATTACAGAACTTCTAATAACTAATAAAAAGAATGTACAAAATAAAAGCAAACTTCAACAAGTATAAACACAAAAATATTTGCATTTTTAAATCCAAAATTAGACATGCCTTTTCTCTGAAGTGATGGCGGGAGATGGATGACCATGAGAGAACTCCATTGATAATATCAGGTAGAAAATTCTGTAGGTCGTTTGCTTGATGGCTTGATACTAGTACTTTCACGAAGCCCAAAACCGCCTGTTCAATTTGTAACGATACACTCATAAGCATTTAAGAGTAAGAAAGGATTAAGAATATGGATTAGGAGTTGGGACACTCACTTTAATAACTTCCACAGCTTTAGTTTGTAGTAAAGCTAGAACAGTTGGGACCAGATCAGGTATCAAAAGACAGATTTCTGAATTGTTATGTACCAGTACAGATAGTGCAGACACAGCTCCACTCTTTATGTGAGGAGAGGAACCAGAAAGATAGCCCATTATCTGAATATTTGCATTGAGAAAATATATTAAAATAAAAAAATTCGCTACAAACATTGACAGAAATTGGAAGCTGCAGCCAAGAAACTGACTTAATACCATTAAAAATACACAAGAAATCCACACGTGAAGACAAGTTTTTTTATTATTTAAAGACAGTGGATACCCTTCCTTTCAGAAATTCAGGCCCCTCACTGAAGGATAAATTTATCTTTTATGAGATTCTATTTTGGAGCTTTGATCCAAAAAAATCATAGACATGGTTGTAAGTATCCAAATGCATGCCGACATCAACATGTATCTACAACCGTTTCAGTGTCAAAACATGATTAAGGCTTGGTTTAGCCATGTCTCCCAAATCATAAAATAGAACTCCATTTTGTTGCTAAAACAAGGAAAAAAAAGAAAGAGAGAAAAAAGAAAAGACTATCAATGTTTTTAATGAAAACATTAATCTGTCTTCTTCACATTCAGTTCAATTTTTAGCCTTAAACCTAAGTACCCTGTCATCCGGATATAGTTTTTAGAATCCCAAAGCAAGATGCTGATAAATAAATAAAAGAAAAAGATTAAATATAGCAAGATGAAGCACAAGAATCACAAAATAAATAACTACAGTGCACAATGAAGCTAAATAAAAACATCCTACATCAAAGTAGGGACACTGATGCACCTACCATGTTGATGAGTTTTTGATAGGGTTCATCAGAAGTAGCAGATGATAATCTCTGCAAGCTGGAATGTATGCCAATCAGAAAATCATAAGCTGCTTTTCTAGCTTCTTCAGTAGACTGGAATTGAAAAGAAAAACACATCATTTTAACATATGTTTGTAATGTTAACATCATAAAAAAATTAAGATAATATAAAGATGGCTTTTAGATTTTTATACACAATAGGATCCAAATGTAATGTTTATTTTAAAAAGATAACAGCAAATAACAGTTAAATCCTGGTTGCAATGTGTAAGAACAGGACCTAGTATGGCAAATCAAAAATAGAAAATGATTTTGATTTCAAGCACCAACCAGGTGTTCCAATATACTTACTTCAACATCCGAACAAGAGTTAAAAAGACTAAAAAACAAAATACATATTAATACTGTGCAAACAAGAACTTCACCTAGGTTGTAACTGTCAAAGCTTCTTGGCAGGCGCATGTGGTCTTTTCAGACCAAAGGAATCATTTGTATGAATGGATATTGGATTACGTTATGGAGCAAGGTCTCATTTTAGAATCCCAAATGAATGGACATGCTAGGGATGACTTCCAACTGGCGAATTCATGAAGCTGGAGCCCTTATACAACTCAAAAACATCCTCGCCCAGCTACTAATATATTTCAAAACTTTGTCATCTTTGGACATTGATTTACACTTATCCCCACCAGCCTTACCAATAGAAGCAACAAATTTAACATCCAAATACTCCTTGAACTGTCTCTTAAACTCATCCATGAAAACAAAATAGGCACTGACATGATTCCTTCTTCAAAAAAGGGATTGCTCTCACCCTTCAAAAGAGACAACCAATCTACAACTCTCCTCAAAACAACTAGACCTATCCTTCTTCAAACTACACACAACTAAAGGCATTAAACTAGATGGGCATAAACACGTCAAATGCATAAGGAACAATTTTCATGTGAGTGCACACAATTCCAATCACTATTCATGCTTAAGGCACAACCTCACAATTTTGAAACAAATTTACACACCATTAAATGAAAATTTGAGAGATGCTATAAATTCCATTAAGTAGCTCTTACATCTTTTATTGTGAGTATAATCTCATTGAGAACAAGAAAAGCCTTTGAGTTTTCCTCGTCCAAACTTCCCTGCAAAAAGCATATAGGAAGGTTAAAGTAGACATCCAAATCAAATGTCACGACTTGATGGTCACTTTAAACTTCAATGTACTTGTTATAAGACAAACACAACACGATAACTAATCTAAACTTCTCATCTTAATAAGCTTTGAGCACCTCTGAAGCATATATTTCTTATGCTTATACACTGCATCGTCACTTATGTTTGAAATTATTAGAGGTGTTAGTGGTTGCAATTATCATTAACAGTTCTACTTTAGTAGAAAAATTGTGCATGTCAAAAATCCCTTTTCAGAATGTATTTAGTTTTTCAATAATTTTACGATACAGAAAAGCTTTGAACCTCTATTGTGTGAACCAATAATATCTGTAAGCAAGCAAAACGACTTCTAACTGTTGTGATGACAACAGGAGACTTCAAACCAATTAGAAAATCCATCAGCTCATTGATATGTGAAGAACAAAACCAGGAATGCTCCTGCACCATAATACATCACAGACAATAATGAGTTTTACTTTAGATATGATTCATGCTTAAAAGTAGCAAACATGAGTACAAACCTCTAAAATTCTGCTCAAAGTATGGTATGCTTCAGTCTGACCAACCTCATCACTTTCCTAAATACCAAAAGTCAGACAAGATCACATTACCATGGAATTACTAACTCTACCAAACACCATAGTCGTTACTAATATGAGACTAAATCATGTAGAGCCTAAGTCATCAACATACCTGCAAAGTGTGTTTAATTAAGCCAAAGATTAAAGCAATCATATCCTCACTAGCTCCTTCAACAAGAGAAGATGCTAGTTCCACTGTCAGGCACCTGTATCAAATTAGATTTAACAAAAGTGATTCAACCTTCATACACTAGGAGTATACAAAGTTGAAATGAAAACCACCAAGAAGTTCTTTAGTAACAATATATAAGAAAAAGGAGATATTAGAACCTGCCAATAGCCTAGGAAGAAACAAAGATATCATCATGGTCATCTAGGCATAGAGTTTTCAATGACATTGAAAGCTCAATACAAAGATTCTTAAATTTTTAATACATGAATATATGTTCAAAAATACTAAGATCATATAATATAGAGCTCAAAAAATCAGTATAAAAAACTAAGTAGGTGTTTGGCATCCCCTAAAATAGCCAAAAAGCCAAAATGTCACTGAAAAAACAAAAAAGTCAACACTATTCACATGTTTTGGCGGGAAAAAAATACTAAGGCCAAGTTTGGCAAGTTGAAAAAAAGTCAAAAAGTTACTCAAAAAGTTAAAAAGTTATCACTATTCACTAAAACTACACACTAATTTATACAATTTTTTAATACACATTTTTCCATAAAAAATTAAAAAATTAACCCAAACAACCATATTTTTTTCCTCAACTTTTTAGTCCAAAAGTACACTTATTTAGGACATCCCAAACAACCCCTAAGTAGACAAAGAGTAAAAAGTCAAAAATGCCCTTGGTTTGCTAGTTCCAACAGTGTACTTTTTGGTGAAGAAAAAAAAAAAAGTGCAGCACAGTGATGGAATGTGCACTGGCGGCACAGTGCGGATGGTCACTGACATTTACAGAAAGATGTCAGGGGTCAAAGGGTAAGAAGGTAATTTTGCTAGTTGATACAATATTTTAATACACATTTTTTCATAAAAAATCAAAAAGTAATCCCCCAAACATACATATATTTTTCTCTACTTTTTTAGCCAAAAAGTCAAAGAGTGCACTTATATAGTTCATCCCAAACAACCCCTAAGAAGGGTCATGTTCATGACACACAATACCAAAATATGTATACCCCAATACACTTTATATACATATCCTAAGACACATTTTACACATCTTCCGACATCAATGACAACCCTATGGACGGTCGTTGGCATTTTCCTTAAGGTCACTATTTTGTTATTGAAACAGAAAAAAAGAAAGAAAAAAAAGATACTAACTTAATACCTCTTTGTGCCTTTTTCGCTAGGAGTAATGTTGCCCTGTTCTTGATCAGCTGAAGCACTGATATGACTCCCCTGCTTTCCAAATTCACCTAAATTATTTATGAGCTGAAATCTTTCCAATGATGATATGAAAATACTTTTGGTCACTGAAGAATCAGTGATAGACGCTAAGCATCCGATGGCATCCTGATATTAATGTACATGCAAAATAAATTAGAGGAGTAAACTGGAACAACATTTTTTGTTAATACAGTGATGGCTAATAACAATAGATTTTGGCCTTGAAAATTCCCAAAGCCACAAGCAAATCAGTATTATCACAGTCAATCTAACAGATATGAGATGTCAGGATTTTTAAATAATATACATATAAGCACATTTGGAGATAGTTATGCCAATTATATATACAATCAACGAAGATGTGACAGCTCAGGAGTAACCATGTAATAAGGATTGCAGCATATGGAAAATCATGTTCTTTAACTTTGGTTCACTGTTTAATGAATCTAAAGTTCTTTCCCAAAATAGACATGTCATACTCCGAGTCTATACAAAAAGAATAAGTTCTAACTTATATGAGAAAAACTAACAACCATGAACAACTTTCGAAAATAACAAGGCTTGCATTATCTTATGCTGTTAAAAAAAAATGACCAATAATGAACGACGGAGGTGTATATGAAAAGCCTAAGGAAGAAACATAGGTTACTGAAGAAAGCTATATAATAATAAGGAAATTAAGCCAAAACCCCTCCATTGGACCCTTATTTGGTGAAAAGGACATCCCAATTTATTTGGCTTCATAAACCCCCTAAGGAGGAGGCGCATAATTAAGTAACGACAAAGTAAAATGTATATTTTTTTTTGGATAATATTGTCAGAGTAATATGTTACTGTCAAATAGAGTAACATGTCACTGTTTATATCAATTTCGACTGTAAGAAATAATGTATAGAGAAAGAAAGAGAATAAATTGTATGTATTATTATTGATTGATATATTGATTACAAGATTGATAAATTACAATTCCTATACAATCTATATATAGAAGAAAATGTGGTAGTAGGTGTAGTGGAGGTGATAGTGGGTTAGGTGAAGTGGAGTGTGTGGTGAAGTGGAGGTAGGTGAAGTGGAGTGTGTAGTGGAGTAGGTGAAGGTAAAGATGGGAAATTCTAACATTGAATGTAATAATTTTTTTTTTTTTTTTTTTTTAAGAATTTCATAGTCAACGTGGATCTTATTTGATAGATCTTGATGAGAGGGTTCTAAAAATACTAATTTTATTAAAAATCGACATCTAGATCAAAAGTCATATTATCTTAAAGTTCAATATTTTGGTAATGTGTTGGACTTTTCGAGGAAATTTTTTTGTACTTATCCTTAATGCATTAAAGTTTTATTATGAGATGGCTTTGACCAAATCCCCCTATATAATACACAGAGGACACGGATCAGCACATATTCAGAAACAAAAAAAACAGACCCCTAAATGATATGAGAACTCAATAATCAAAAAAACTTAGCACTCAATCATAAAAAAGGGCAAGCAAGAACATTATGTATTAACCATTTCAAAGCATATAATAAGATATTAAACCTTCAAATATGCACGCTTCTCTGGAGGTGAATCAAAAAAGACATCTACCAAAGCCTGAACCAACTCCCTAGCGCATGATGCCAAAGCCCTGATGTTTCTGCTTGCAATTTTCTTTGAATAAGGGGGTTTACTTTTGAACACTACAGAAGAACCATTTATTTCAGAGGTCTTTGGAAGTGTTGCAAACTCACCAGTACCCTCATTAGATCTTACTACAGTTTTGTTTTGATTCACAAGTTCCTATGAAGAAAGAAATGAGATATATAAGATCAAATATTACAGAACTGAGCAAAAGAACAGACATTAGCCCAAAAACAAAAGAAAAAATTAAGAAGAAGAAAAATTAAGAAAAGTAATACAATCATTGAGGTAAGTTATTCAACGCAAACCTGCAAAGCAATGGCTATGTTTTCGAGCATAAATGAGTCCTTTGTGATGAAGGTAACTAAAAGTTTCACTAAAGATCCAAAATTTTGGTGAGTGTCAGTTGGATGGCGACAGAAGGCAGGTAATAATCCCCAACAGCCACGGGCATAGGCCTGCAGCTCTTCTTGAATCATTGACTTTTTAACTGACAAAAAGCATAAATTTCAATTCCAAAAAGGGAAACTCAGAGAATTGCAGCTCTTAAATTATGTACCATCACAGAAGCTAGAGGAACAGAAATCAGTGAAAAGTTCAAAATAAAATTTAAAAAAAGAAAAGAATAGAAAAAAGAATAATAAGAAGAAGATAATTGAAATAGATTGACTCCCTTATCCCCCATGATAAATAGAATTTCACATGATGGTCCAAAGTTGTCGTAAAATGCCCATTAGTGATTACATAGTGGAGCAGTTCTGATATTTTTCAAGTAATAGGATATATGTTCTTTACAACATTCCAGTGTAGGCAATGTGCCCCAGTGAACAACTAGGCAATTGGGCCACCCTAAGAGACCCATGGCCTAGAAACAAGCCTCGCCATACAAACTTACTAGAAAATTCGGCCTCCATAAAACTATACACATCCATGAGGTAACTGATACAAGTAGACTGAACGCAAGAGAAGAACAAACAGAATAGTGCATCTTGTCTTCCACACAAGCCTCATGAATTGTATATACCTGTAGCTTTGGACTTGATAAATTATGTTATTTGTGATTTTTTGTGTAGAGTGGATGATGTTGGATCCGATGATTGAGTTTTATGATAGCTAGGTTTATAAATGTGAGTAAGATAAGGCAGATCATGAGTATTTAATGTGTTGTGTTTGGGGAGGAAGGAACTAGCATACTTTTGAGGATGTATAGATGAAGATAGATAGGCTGAGCTTATCTTTGCTTCAACCTATTCATTTTTGCCTTATAGAGAAATTTTGGCTCTGTTTGGAAGAGCTTTGGAATTGTAATTTCACCTTTTGGTTTACACATGGTGTTTGGTTGTAGTTTTAAAAAATTAATTCTACACCACTTTTGAAAACTCCTTTCCAAGCGGGAAAATTTGGCTAACCTGGTCATCCCCCCGGACGTCCACCCGGTCGACTGGAATAGTGTACGGGGTTTTTTTTTTTTTTTGTACCTGTTATTTTTATATTTTAAATAAAAAATATTTTCAGAATTTTTTTAAAATTTTTTATGAGTTTTAAATAGGATTTTGAGTTATGTGTTTGGTTGAGTTGTAAGTTTTTGAATTAAATATTATATATCACATCATTCATTTCAAACTCAATTCAAAACTCTTTCCAAAACTATTTTCAAAACTCATAACCAAACAAATTTTCCATATTCAAATCATAATTCCAAAACTCACAAACTCAAAATACAACTCCTATTCTCAAATCATATTTAGAAAACTCTACCAAACGCTACCTTTGTAAATCTTCTTTTTCTCTAATAAATTTTTTGGGCAAACTTAAATTTAGGGGAGAATATAGATTTATTTGTGTTATTTTTTTTTGCTTCGTGTATATCTCTAGTTCACATAAGCACTGTCCCACTTAGACAATATGAGGAAGAAGAACTCCGAAAATATGAGGAAGAAGGAATATATTTCTGTTATATTCAAAACTTCTTATTTTACAAGACCAAATGACACTCCTTATATAGGAGATATTACAAACATCATTATAACCCATTATATGCCACTTACATATTATATATTACCACTATCTACCACTATCATATTATATACATGCCACTATCTACTACCAACACCACTATCATATTCTATACATGCCACTATCTACCACCAACACCACTATCATATTCTATACATGCCACTATCTACCACCAACACCACTATCATATGCCACTATCTTATTATATGCATTAACACAAATTTCTAGCAGTCCCTTTGGTGGCTTTCTGATTCAAACTATATGTTACTTATCCCCCCAAAAAAAACGGGCGAAAGAAACAAAAAAAACCACCCTTTGGAACAAAAAGCAAAACATGGAAGATGCTTGTACACATGTGGGTGCATGTGTGGTTAACAAGAGAAAAATGAGCAAATGGCCATGGTACGACTTGTAACAACTTGAAGGAAAATAACCAAAATAACTTTTAAAAGAGTTAACAACTATACAAAATGATTTCCTCAAGAAAGAGGTAAGTCTATTTTTGCAAAATCAAAATGATAAATGTTCTACACCGTGACCCATTTCACAACAACTTAACACCCAGAGAATTCAATTCCAAATGAAATTGATATTCCAGAACCTTCTTGATCAAATGAACAGAACCTCAAAAGATAATGAGAGCAACAAATTTGAGCATTATGCGGAAAGTGATAATATATTGAACCTGACCTCAACCAAATTCAAGAGAAGTCTTTTTTTTTTATTAATACTGTAGTTTGAGTTGGTACCTTTAGCACAAACCCGCTGAAATGATTCTGCAAGAGGCACAACATGCTCCATAAAGAATCCTAAGGATGATCCAACTGCATAATTCCTTAAAATAGGTATCAACCACACATTTGAACAAGAGGGATCTTCAGCATTAGGGTTGATGGGTAAAAGTGCAAGTATCTTCTCTGGCCCTATCGCAATAACAGCAGACCCAATACATTCCTCAAGCTGTAAATTACATGAAATTATGTCTCAATGTCAGAAAATTAGCAGGGGACATATGAGATGCTCAAACTAAAGATATTTCACTCCCTTCACATTCTTTTTAAACAGGCAATAGGAGCGAAGATATTAGAAGCACAAACCACATATTTGGTGTCACTCAAAGGTTGATTAATTATGATGTATTTGTTAATTTTAGAAGAGATCTCTGGCCCTATCGCAATAACAGCAGACCCAATACATTCCTGAAGCTGCAAGTTACATGAAATTATGTCTCAATGTCAGAAAATTAGCAGGGGACATATGAGATGCTCAAACTAAAGATATTTCACTCCCTTCACATTCTTTTTAAACAGGCAATAGGAGCAAAGATATTAGAAGCACAAACCACATATTTGGTGTCACTCAAAGGTTGATTAATTATGATGTATTGATTTCAATTTAGCAGATATAGTTATAAAAATAAAGAATTTCATGTCGTAGTCAACACAGAAATGAAATAAAACTTGAGTTGGCACTTGAGAAGCTTTTAAGTTTATCGGAATAGCCACAAATTAGAGTCTTTTACAACACTCACATGTTTTGTGTCAGACTTATTCCGACAAGCAAGGGTCATTATGTCAGCAAGTTTAATTATTGTACCCTTCATATAGAAGTGCGAGATCTCACCTACAACAACAAACACAAAATAATAAGATAAACTTATAATACAATAATAAAGCATATGACTGAAGGCACAAAAAGCAGCAATGAAACAATAGATGACGCAGACAAGTGAGAAAACAAAAAATCAGTAATAATAGTATGCAATCCTAAGAAGCGATGACTGGATAAATGAGATTTCTGTGTGAAAAACTTGAGGCCATTAGCATGGCAGTAAGTGTCTAAGCACAAAAAAGTAAGAAAGGGAACCAAAAATGAATAAAGATGGGCATGTGTTCCTTATGCAACAATCTATTTCAATATGCACATCTAAGCAATGAAAAGTTCACATAAACAGCATCCTTCAATTACATGCAATTGCTAGTACCTTATAACTTAATTTATTAGACATCTTACATTATGTGAAGAAAATCCCAGTTCAATATTTGGACAATTAGTTGAGTACTTTATCTGCTCCTAAATACCAATAATGAAGTGCAAAACTTACAGAAAAAATTGTACATTTAAAATGTTAGGCATCTGCTCCTTAGTTGCACAAAGCGAGGGCACATAGAAATTTCTAAGGTTAGGAGCACCCTATGGGAGCATGTATGTTTTAACACATATATGATATGTAATACAAACTACCAAAAATAATTTTTTCAGGTCACCAATAATTGGATCACTCCTAAGCCAGTTCCAACAATGGGTTGTGAAAACCAATGCAGTACATTCACCAGTTTGATAAAAAGGCCAAAGCAGTACATTCCACCAGAAAGAGTCAGTGATTTTATGTTGTGTTTCTATGCAAACAACTAAAAGAGAGACTTAGACAACAACACAGTAACAGGCAATCATGATGCAAAAGAAACAATTTCCTGTGGCATGAGGATAAGTTTGGTATATGCTGTAATCTCTAAAGAAATCACATACCAAGTTTGCAGAACAAAGCAGATATGACTGCCAAACTTTGCTCATTCGGAACTCCACCACAGCTGCTGAGCACATTTTCAAAGATAGCACACGTGGATTTTACAGCACTTGATTCCATGCTATGCTTAACTTCATCATCAACTGACTCATTATCGATAGTCAAACAATTGCTTCTGATATGGAAGTTAATCAACTCTTTTAAAGTATTTGAAGCCTGTGAAGCAGTACTAGCCTCAGAAGTTAAAAGACCTAAGAATACATAAACAACATAAGAATTGGCAAGCTGTACCGTATGAAATTGTGAAAATGGCAAGTGGAAGCTAATGACTGTTCACATAGGTTTATGGGTTGATAACATAAAATTAACAAAATACAGAACTGCATCCAAATTTGTAAAAGAAACCATAACCATAATATATTCAATGTCAACAATCATCAATCAGAATATTGTTTACGACAACATAAGCAAATTTTTAGTACCTTAACATCCATTAAGTTTGAATGTCAGGTTACGTGAGAAAGGTTTTCAGATAGAGAGAGTGAAAGATGGAATCGAGTTGAGCTCATCCTAACTCAAGCTAAGCTTGTTTGATAAACGACCATTATTTTAGGATCGATCTTGACTTTAATACATAATCAAACAAGTCGTGCTCCAGCAGTTCATGAACAGCTGCGGTTTGTTTGATGCCCTGTAATTGTGCCACATTATCACCTAAAGCAAAGCTTTTTATGAAAATTGAAGAAATTTATCCCCAAAAAAAGTTCGGCAGATTTACCCAATCCAATGCCAGGTGAGACTCCCAAAAGGTATAGCGATCTGGGTTTTGGACCCGATCTCCATAGTATTCCGGTCTTGGGTTGCGCAGTTAATAATGTATTTGTGTTCCGTTTTTCTCCTTTAACTCTTGAATCGGAGCTTTTGATTGTGTTAGGTGTGTTTGGGGTAGGACGGTTGTTGAGTGGTCCAAATATTTCCTTCCCAGATTTTGGCTTCTTCGCTCGAGCGAGGCTTCCTGCACTCGAGCGAGCTCCGTGAAGTCTGCTTCTTCGCTCGAGCGAGATTTCCTTCACTCGAGCGAGTTTTGTGGGTCTTCAGGTTTCTTTCTCAGACACAGTTTCCGCTCGAGCGAGCCTTTTGGCGCTCGAGCGAGGCTTGTGTGTTCGTTCCTTCGCTCGAGCGAGAACTCTTGCGCTCGAGCGTGCGTCTGCTTCTGAGGCAGACCTGAAGCTTGGAATTGTGCGCTTGAGCGAAACTTCTTAAGCTCGAGCAAGGCCACTAGTTGCTCCTGGTCGCTCAAGCGACAATTCCTTCGCTTGAGCGAGGATCGCGATCTCAGCTTTTTAAACATAGCGATTTTAGATCATTCGGACACAACACTTTTCTAATCTCCATTCCTTTTCTCTCCCACTTTGAAACCCTAACTTTCTACCATCAAATACCTCACATCCACTTGTGATTCACCCAAAAATCGTTTGCTAGGGGCAGAGAGCACTTGAAGAGGGTCATTCTCAACCAATTTGATTGTGGGTTTGTGGTAGATTCGTGAAGGGGCTTGGACATTTGGCTTTATAGTTGAGGTAGGGATACTTTTATCCTTGTATGTCTTCATTTTTTAAGAGAGTTATGGTATTTAATGTGATTTGTGAACTAATTGAAGGTTTGGTAATATTGAACCCATATTCCTCATTGAAAAATGATGCAGACCACTAATTAGTGGTTGCTCTAATGATGTGGCAGTGGGTCCCACCCACTGCCACATGTATTTTGTGTCCTAGTTTTGTTTTGTTTTGTTTTTTTTTTTTTTGCTTTCCACATCATTAGTGATGGTGTTAGTGGTAGGAATTTAGTGGTCTGTAGCATTGTTGATTCCTCATTTTATTCTCTCATTCATCAATGGTTAGAAATCTTTCATCCCTTCTTTTAAAAAATGACTAGAAATGTGATTAAGAAATTAGATTGGTGATAAAGCATGAGAAATCCCAAATTTGGTAAAACCCGAAGTTTCTAATTTAATAAGAATTACTTAGTGTAATGAAATTTTCCTCTTGAATGTTAGACATGGACAAATAATGGAGAAATGCAATGTGGGCTTTGATGTGATTAGAGAGATGGTGACTTGAATGCTATGATTCTTTGAATTTATGTGTTGCTTATCTATGATTATGTTTGATATTCATATGTGGGATTGAGATGTGATTTAAATTGTTGACATACATGAGTCCTTATGTGTGTGTCGATGAAGAGTGGAGATGGTGTTGTGTTGGTACCCACGCGGAGAAATTTAAAAAGGTGCCCAATTGCCCTGTCTAGGCTTATCGCTGGACGAATGTGGGAAAAATATTTTTGGGTGTCCACACAGTCCCGCCGTATAGTAGCTGGTTAAAGTGGAAAAACGGATGATTTTCTAAGGGTGTCCACCTCCCACCGTACAGTAGCCGGCGAATGTGGGGGATTGTCTTTACAAAGCAAATGTTGCTCTTGGTGGGGTTCATGTAGACGAAAGTGTGGTCTATTTTTTTTAATATTTGTGGATATTTGATTGTAGTACATGATTGATGTGAGTTGCAATTATCATATTATTTTAAAATACCTTCTTATGAATTTGTTGACCGTTTTTCATGAAAATAAATCTTACTAGAACACTCTATCTCTTGGATGCCATTATCTCATTCGAAGGATTAGATACATGGATAAATGTATTTCTACTGGGCTTTTAGCTCAACCCTAATCTAATTTTTCAGGAATTGACGAAGGATAGGTTCATTGAAAGAATTGGTTCAAGCACTAGCTCTATCAACTTTTGGGAACTAATTGAAGTCAAGGACTCTAATTGCCATATGTTCTTTCTGGTGTTTTTGTAACAAAATTACTTCTTATGTTTTGTAATGTTAGATGCCCATGGGGCCTTATTTTGTAAGTTATCTAATTCACTGGACAGAGGGAGAATATTCTGAACTTCATGGGAATGTACAGTATGTAATGTAGACGTTAAACTCTTTGTTCAATGAGAAAGATGACTTCTGTGTGTGTTCATGAATATGGTAATCGGTGTATTTTATGGTGTGTATTTTGAGGGCGTTACAAAAGGTCTTACAATTTTTCGTCTCATTTTGTTTGTTTAACAACTAACATTGTCAATCTAATCTCCATCCTCTTCTTGTTCTTCCCCATTACCAAACATTTAGAACAATATATGAGGTATGTACCAAAAAATAAAAACAAGATGGGGTGTGACAACTGAAACCATGCTTAAAAGCAGTTTAATAGCGAAATGCATTGATGTTGACACTACCAAGTACCAACTTAGTAGTAAATATTAATTATGCCAAGATCTTTATTAACACGAGCATACCCGCTATAGAGTCAAATACCAAGGGAAGATTGTTGATCCATTTGCTTACTTCACCAGTTTGAAGTTTGTCAAGAGCACTTTTTAACAAGGTTGCTGCAGACAAAAGAGTGTCATTGGGGTTCTTCACCCCCATATTTACATAAGATGTGAGGGATTTTATAATGTTCTCTGCCTGCAGAATTACAACTTCAGCTTTTGATGTTTCAAAAATTGCTTCAATAACACTGAAAATGTGCCTCGTCAATGCTGTGAAGTGGGAATTCATGAGTTTATGCAGTTGTTGAAGCACTTTCAAACTGACTTTGACAGAGAGATATGGAACAATATGTTTCAGTAAAGTAAGCATGTGAATGACCTCTAGGTGCTCAGGTTTTGATATCTCATCTTTAGATCCATCTATAACTGCTGAAGCATTTATCTCAACTGCTAAAGGCATGTAACCTTTGAGAGAAGAGAGTACCAATTTACTTGCCTCTATAACAGTGGATGATTCAAATGACTTAAAGACCTTGACAACACAATCTTGAGCGCATTTCCGGACCTGCAAAGATAGAATTACACAAACTCTTAAATCTCCAATATGAGTTCTAATGGCTGCAATGAACCAAGCATTATTATGTGAATTGTGTTGTTGGGCAAAATGAAAATTGAAGTATTCTGATTGCTTGGAATCGCCAAATCCTTACTCAAACCTGGACTCAAATTTAAAATTGAGTTAAAAAAACACTCAGAACCCCTCTTCACTCCCTGACCCGAACTCATTAAATAGAATTTTATCCATTTCTTTACCCAAATGAAGGGTGACTCAAATCTTGACTCAGATATCCAACATATATATTTACTTCATTTATGTAACAAAAACTGACAGTCTTTGAGATATGATGAGAATTTTCAAAAATAATAAGTAAAAATTAGTACTTGCCATAGAAGCGCTTTGTATAAATGAATTTGTTATTCAAATTTTAACTCAAGTCATAATAGCAGATGGTCTGACGACACTAATAGTTGATTTCCCTTATGGGAAATGCTAACCCAGTGGTGGATAATCTATCTATCTATCTATACAAACAAAATGCTAACAAGATGATCATATGTGCACACATCACGGGCACCACAGCTTCTAGAGTTGGTGTTTATTTACCCAATTGCAGTTATGCCCTACATTCAGGGTTTTTTTTTTTTTTTTTTTCAAATGTCTCAATTGTTGGTCTTTTTAAATTTATAAAATGTTTTAGTTTTCAAATTTTGAATTCAATCATACATTTCACAATCTTATTTCTCTGTTTATTCTCACCAAATGTACTGAAATATATGAAAAATGCATGCAAGTATATTCAAAAAATGCATGAAAATATGTTAAATGTGCATATTTTTGTCATGAGTAAGTATCAATACCTTTGGACGCCTATCAATTGAGAATTTAAGAAGTGTCCCAAATCCCACTTTAACCGAATCCCAATCCTCCAAATCACAAAACCCTAACAAAACCCCTAAACATTTAACCAAAGACCTAGCACTCGCAGTCGCCAATTCCTCGCCAGGCCGATCCACCAGCTCAACGAGAACACCAACAGCATCCCCAGCTTTCGACGCCACGATCGAGTCCTTCGGAAGGAGCGGGAGCACAATGGCGAGGAAAGAAGAGAGGGCGGAGACAGCATTGGAGTCGAGCGAAGTAGTGTCGGAGGCGGCGACGGTGGAGATGGCGGCGGCGAAGTAGGAGAGGGGAGTGAGGGGGAGTGACTCAGACTCGATGATGGAGCGGGTGGCGGAGGCAGTGGCGCAAAGGTAGCGATGTTGAGGGGCGGAGGACTTGCCGTAGCGGTCTAGGAGTTGTTGGCATAGGTCTGAGGCATCTGTGAAGCCTGTGTCTGTAGGTTCTTGGTGGTCTTGGTGGTTGCTGCGGCGCCGGCGTTCGTGGTGGTGGTGGCGGCGGCGGTCGTGGTGGTGGTGTATGGAGTCTTGTGTGGTGGTTTTGTGTGGTTTATTCATGGTGGAAATGTGTTCCGAAGAAGAAAGAAAGGGTTTTTGGCAAACTGAGAGGGTTTTAGATTTTAGGTTGAATTGCAACGCGACGGTACGGGGCGGGGCGGGCGGTTTTTTTAAAGTAATTTCGGGTTGTGTCCCGAGTTAAAATTTTAAGGATAAAATTACAAATATATATTTTGTTTAAAATATATGAATCGTGCGATTTAAAATTTTACAACAAATTTTATTAATAAATTATTAATTAAATTAATATTTTTAAATAATGGTATAAATATATTTTAATTAGTAATTTAGGTAATTGTATTATTATATAGGCCAACAATTAAGAATTTTATTTTTTTAGCTAATTATGTTAAATAAAAAAATTTTAAAAAATAAGATATTTGTAATTTTCTAAATCATACGGAACAATATGTATTTTAAGTAAATCTCAATTGACGTATTTGTAATTTATTCAAATTTTAATAAATATTTTTTTGGATTGTAATAATTATAAAGAGTGCACCTATCAATTATTTTGGACCCTCCATTTTTTTACTTTTTTTTATTATAATAATAACCTCAAATGGAATTACTAAAAAATATATCAATAATTTTGGGACACCCCATTTCACAATTAAGCCCACACATCATGAGTTAGAAATTATGAGAGTACCCACCCCCATTACCATCCATTCATCTTTCCCAAATTTCACCTCCAAAACCTACCTACCCTCAAAATCTTTTGGCGGCAATGTTCCGGCAGTAACGGTGACAATCATTTAATTACCTACACTTCTTCGCAATGACAATGAGTGAATTTTTTTGACATTCACAACTTCATAAGACAAGAGAAGTTAAATAATAAAAACTCATAAAAGGTTCATAATTTTGATAGTATTTTTAGCCCAGAGGATATTGGTTCTATAAGGATAAGTTTCTTAAAAATAATTACAAAAATAATAAAAATTATTTATCATTTTTTTGAGAATAAACTCCCAAACATTTGATAACACAAGCCTGAACATTGTTCATTTGTTTGGGAATAGGTAATCAAACATTTATTATTTGTTCGGGAACAGGTAACCAAAACTCGTGGAGATTGCAGAATTTACAAAAAAAAGAATTTTGAATCAACAACAAAATACCTTATATTTATTTTCTCAGGTCATGAACAAATATGTGGAAATGAAGTAATAATTACATGGGATTAAATATATGATAGGGTTGCTCGATATTGTAATAATTGTTGATCAGCACGAAGAATTTACGACTGTTCGAGAATATATTATTTTGGGAATTCCAACTATTTGTTTAGTAATTACCATTGTGAGTTTTATTAGGGTTTTTGGGAGAGAGGTTTTTTGGGGTGTGGGGATGTGCATTCAATTGAATGAGTGAAATATTTTCACAAGGATAATTTTAGTATTATTTTGGAAATAATTTTTTTTTAAAGAATTTTAGAATTTATAAATGAGAATTCAAAAAAATAAGGGGTCAAAAATAATTGATAGGGTAATAACAACACTCCTTATAAATTGTATTTTTTTTTTCACAATCATTAGATATTTGATTACAAATATCTTATTTATTACATATTTTTTTATACATATATATCAATATTAATCTCAAATTTTATTTTATTTTTCCCATCTAAAAAAATCAATTTTTTTAGGTATTTTAATTATAATGAAGCAAAAATATTTTTTAAATCTCGTTTGGTAAATTAATTGTTTTAGCCTAAAAGTTAAAAAATTATTAAAAAAATAAAAAAGCCTATAACTTATACAAAAAAGTCAAAGATTTTATTTTCTCTTTACTTTTTGCACATCTTTTCGTAAAAAGCTAGAAAATCACCCAAAACATACTATTTTTTTACCTCATATTTTAGTTAAAAAATCAAAAAATTACTAAAATATCCTATTCCCAAACGAGGCCTTGCATTAATGTTAGTCACTGCTTTTTCTTTCATGTATATTAATAAAAATTATCTAATAAGTTCTATGAGAAAAATTTATCATTAAAAAAGTCACTAATTATAAGTTTTAGCGACAATTTAAAAAAGATCCTGATAAAAAAAATCATTAATTGTCAATTTTTAACGACGTATGTAAAAAATTGTCGTAAAAAAATTATTTTTAACGACAATTTTATCAAGACTTATTTCCAATAAAATTTGATGAGAATTAAATCAAACTATTAGAACCTATTAATGGTCTACTCTTGATTTGTTTAATTTCTCATGCTATTATATCATATCATTTTTAATTGGCATTCGTATATAAAATAATGCTTATTGTCAAGAAATTATATCTACAAAATGTAAATATTTTTTAAAAAATTAAATATCATTCAAACAAATTTTTCTTACGTACCTTTTTTTTTTTAAATATTAAATATTAGTCAAACAAAATTTTCTTGCATAACTTTTTTAACAAATTGATGTGACAATGAATTGTTGGAATATTTTAATTTCAATAGATTTCACAGACCCAAAGTTTATTTTATTTTATTTTATTTTTTGTACACCATACTATTAGATCATTGATCATTTTAATCAAATTAAGTGGCAACTAATTTTTTTAGTTAAAAAATTAAAAATATCACATCATTTTACATTTATTTTTTTTAAAGAAAAACAATGGCAAACACCAATTTTGTGCAAAAATAATTTTTAAAAATTCAGAAAACTCCCCTAAAAAATTTCTTCCATTTTCTAAGGGAAAAAAACAAAAATGACACGAAACACACAAAATTTGGTTTCCAAATATTTTTATAGCACATAAATAGAATGAAAACCCCCCTCTTGTATAAAGAAGAAATTAAGCAAAATAGAGGAAAAGTACACGCCGCAACACAAATAACCTCAATAATCATTTGTTTGCAAGATGCACACTGAACCAGACTCAAGATGAACTGTGAACCCCATAGACCTTCACTACAATGTGCACCTTCCACAATCGTATAAGCATGACCCTATTTATGATGACAAAAGAAGCCAACACCATTGCACATAAGATCGATCCTGAAAGATGGCAAACCGGATGATAACCCTCCTTCTGAACCAACCAACTGTAATGTGAGATAATGTCAACTCCTCATAAATGCAACCTGAACTAGACCCTGCAAAACTGTGGCAACAAATAAACCCTCCAGACAATGGATGTGTGGTTGTGCAGTCACTCAACGACAACATCAAGCAACCCCCGTTGTGTCAAAATTGGACAAACCAAATTTCATTCTTATGGTCAGCAAAAATCTGCAGCAAAGTAAAACAAAGTGTCATATATAACCTCAACAACATAATAGCATAACATAGTTAACCTAATACTTGCTACAATCCGTAAAAAATTCCTAAGGGGATGACTCAAATTCAGTCTAAATAAAATTTTGGTAAAATAGCTAATGTATATCCATGGCTATATTTCATTTGTTCAATAAGTTTTGCAGAAAGTAACATAAAATGCCATGTACTGTATTTGAAACTTTTACATCAATGGGTCACGTAACTAACAGTAAAAGGTCAGCAAGCTAAGCTCAACTTCCAATCAAGCAAAATGGCACCAAGTATAAGGGTAATAATGCTCTTGGAATTAGAACACAAAAGCCTGTAATGGAACTGAGCAGGCATGATCAGACATTTTCTCATTTATTTCATCCCAAATAGTGCCAATAATACCCTCAAAGCAATTATCCAAGGAAAGAAAAGCTGAAGGAAAAGGAAAAGGAAAAGCAAGCCAACCTCACTGAGGATGGAGGAGTCCAGACCTCCCTATCAACCTAACTTGCAGTTCCGTGTTTTCTTCCTTTTGCCAATGAGTAGTTATAGGACTCCCCAAACTTCTCATGGATTTGAATTGCAAAACATGCTCGTTTGACTGAACAATGACTACATCAAATGTGTACTTTTGTTATGTGATTTATTAAATGAACTCAGTTTGGGCTACCAAGCAAGCAAAAAATGGCTGCATGAACCACAAGGGGCTGCATAAGAATCAACTGGTTCATGAACGACTCGAACTCAGTTCATTTTTGGCTTGTTCAAACTCATTTACTTAGTAAATAAACCAAGCTTGAGCCTAATTTTAAAGTTCATTTAGGCTTGTTTCATAAATAGTCCAGGCCTGAGTCAGGCTCAATTTGGTAGTTCCCAAATCTCAATGTGCCAGAGGACCGCACACAGCACAGCACAATAAGGAAACAAAAATGCTTGGGAGCTCTAATTAGAGCCACCACTAATGATGTGGCAGTGGGTCCCACCCACTGCCACAGTGTATGTTGTGCCTTGTTTTTTTTTTTTTTTAATTTTTTTTTTTTTTTTTTTTTCAATTTCCACCTCACTAGTGGTGGATTTAGAGCTCCTTATTTAGAGCTCTACATCATTGCTGATAAGGAAAGAAGGAGAAGAGCAAGGATGGGAAGAAATCGAGGAGTGATCCCCAATCAATATCCCAATTAATCAATCCTCAAATCATAGTGCAAAACATAACTATTCATAGGCATCCTAATAAAACCATAACGAAAGTTACGGAAATAACCCATTACAATAGGTAAATCCTAACATAATAATTAGAAGGGGAAATTACAAATACCAACTAAGGTTTGCCTAAAATAACATATTCCCTTCATGGTTTAGAAAATTACAGATACTCCTGTCAGAGTTTGTCGTTTAGTAGACTCAACAAAAACAAAGAACTACCTAATTTCTTTAAATAGTAAAACAAAATTACCGTACTAGCCCATCCCTTCCTCCGTCATCCTAACCCTTCTTACCTGGGGAAGGGTTGGGGGAGGTCATTGATGATCATTGATCTATTTGGGTGGCTGAATGGATAGAGTATGTTCTCTCTCTCTCTCTCTCTATGTGTGTGTGTGTGATGATTAGTGATTTTGTGCTTAATTTGGCTTTATTTTGTGGTGAAAGTGGGTAGTGGAAGACGGTGGAGGTAGTGGTACGGTGGTGGATGGGTGTTGCAAGGGTTGTGGGCATGGAAATATGGAAGTTGTTTGCCAAAGTAAGCATAGTATGAAAGACTACTCATTTATGAAATATACAGGAAACACATACCTCTAGATAGCTTATTTCTCAAACTATTGAGAGATTATATGAGCTGCATAGCTGAAGCAAGGCAGTTTGATTTGCAGGGTCAACATTTTCACTGATGATTTGGGGGTACTTCCCAGGGGAACGAGCAGAAAGATTTGCCAATGAAGCCACCAAAAATTGTTTGGGGTCCTTAATATCCCTCAAAGGATCCTCCTCTTTCTTCCCAGCATTGTATAACTGTACAAAGGTGGCACCATAACCCACATTGTCTCCAAAATCTGGAACTTCAGGTTCCTCCTCAATTCTATCCTGCTCTGGCCGTGAAAGAAGGGTAACAATGCTGTCCACAATTTTCCCCCAAAGCCTACTAGCTGCAGGATCCAACAAGGCTGGAGACTCACAGATAAGTCTTGTTGAAGCAATTGATGTTAACTTAATCTCAATGGTACCTATGATCAGCTTGAGATTAGGTATCCAAAATTGTTCCAAGATCACAAGAAATGTATTGGGCTGAATAACAGCATTCACTGAATCAAAAAGGTTCTGGGAACCATTTTTTACCAGAAAAAGAGACATGAATATCAAAAGAGACTTCACAAACTTCATTGTTCTGCTATTTTGGAGCCGTGTAAATAGGGAAGCCCATATGTGGCCCACATAAGGTGCCATCACATCATATCCAAGGTTCTCAATAATTGTATTAAGCACATAAAATCCCTGTTCGTCTGTGCGAGGAGATGAAACAAGCTTATTGAATATACCCAGCACCTGCGTCAACCTCCCCTCCTGGTTAAGCTCATGGGGTGCCTTCTGAAGGAAAGCCTGAAGCAAGCGCACAAGGGCTGGGACATTTCCTGATTTTTTCCATGAATCAGGCAACAATAGAATCTCAAAGATCTGCATGTAGTGTTGTGGTATCGGGGGTCTATTTAATTCAACAAGCTGAGCCAGCAACTGGAATGCATAGGGGAAGAATTCAGTTACATCTCTGGCTAAAATCAATTGGAGGCTGGGAAAAAGGCTTCCTTCAAAGGCTGACACAAGAGAAGGGTCCTTCTCACAGGACCGCCTGACGAGAATAGCCACTGCCTCAAACAGATAGTGATTAAAGATAGGATTTTTCGGGTTCTCACACACTTTGTTGAGAATAGAAGTCAGGCCACTGATGCAGGGTGAAGCAACCTCACGAGAAATGTCTGCAGCTCCAAGAACCCTCATGATACACTTCATTACATATGGATTCTCCTCGGATTCTGGCCTCCCCAAGGCACTGAAAAGGTTGGTCATCAACACAGGTAAAAACGGGCTGATGTCTGATGATGTATATCTTGCTCTTCCCCCATCATCCTTGACCAACAAGAGTTTCTCAATACAAGTTGCAGCATAAGAATGAACCACATTAGACTCTGAGCCAAGGAAGCGAACAACCTCCGGAATCAATGCCATTGCAATGGGTTTTGAGATCTGATTCCTAAACATAGTGAAGAACTTCAAAGCACCAGCCTTCAGCATCGGAAACCCATCCACATCTTGATTTTGTAACTCCGGCACAATAACTGATCTGAAAAAACTCTCAACATCTACCAGATCAGTTGAGACTGAGGTACCACCCGCCTTTTTTGTTGCAAGAGAGACAACCAAATAAATAGCACAATCCTTATGCTTCCAAGTCACAGCTGGATTTTGAGCAAACAATGCCAAACTACTCTGTATCTGACTGGAAACTTTTTCAGTCACCTTTTCTTTGTAATTTGTTGCAATTCCCTTCAGAAGTTCACAAGCAATCCTCCTCCTTGTATCGAGATCACTCCCTTCCATGTCCCGTCTAATGAACTCAACAAAATTCATTTCAAACAACTCCTCATCCTCCTCCCTTAACATCACATTCGGGATGACAATACTCTCACAAATCTGCTGTAAAATTTCATCCCTCGCAAACAAAGTGTGGTGAACGCTCACACTGACCGTGGTTAAGAACTTGATTGCAGTCACAGTTAACCTATCCCGATTAGAAGATGGAGAAGTGGCCACAAGGAGATTCCAAACAGCTTCCACAAACCCACCCAAGTACCCCTGAAACTCTTCCTCATTCTTTTCCATGTAAAGGCTTAAATTCTCACAAACAGCCGCTCGCAGCCCATCAACGAGCGCAAGTCCATCCCCACCACCATCTTCAAGTGCAGGGTACTTCACAATAAGATATTTTTGAAACTCACTCATCCATTCCCCCATATGATCCTCAAAAAACTCGGGTAATTCTTGAAAATTCAAAGAATAAAAAATTCTACAACACAACCTCTGCGACTCAACGAGAGGCCGCAAGGTCACAGCTTGCCCACCCGAACTCGCCACATTATCGATTAAAGTGGCGGTTCGCTTCAAGATTTTCAATAGTGGTTCGGCGAAATTATCGAGACAGTACTTCAAATCAAGTAACAAATCGTTGGTTTTGTACTGGTATCTGAATTTCTTAAAAATTGAATTCAAAGTGCTGAGAATTCCATTAACAGTCGAATAATCAGAGGTCTCACCTGCTTTATCAAGACTCGATTTGAGCTCCGGAAGCAGAGCGGGCCACGATTTCGGAAAATCGTGCTTGCCAATCACAGCTAGGGCTTCACTGAGCTGGGATTGGATTTTCGGAGCAGAAGAGAGCATGAGAGGGACAATCAGGGCCTTGATTTGATCCTTCTCGGAGTCTGGAATCGGAGATAGCGTTGGCGAATCGGAGGACCACCGTGAACGGAGGTGGTTCTTGAAGTTGACGGCGGCGGAGTGGCGGATTGGGTCGTCGACGGAGGGTTCGGCGAGGAGGCGGAGGACGGCGAGGGCGTAGTTGGGGCGGTCTGAGGCGGAGGAGAGGGTGGACTCGGCGCGACGGCGGGGTTCCGGGAGAGGAGAGAGAGTGTCGAGGAAGGTTTGAGAGAGAAAGTGGACGATTTCTGGGTTCCAATCCATTTTTAGTTGGTTGTTTGTGTTGCAGAAAAAAATGGAGGTATATGGCTTTGAAGAAGTTTGAAATTTGAATTTCTAGGGTTTTGTTTGAAGATGTAGATGGTATGAATAATTTTTTTTTTTTCAAAAGATATGAATATAATAATCGAAAATGGTTTGCACACCGAGGCTCCGTTTGTTTTGACAGGTTGCGGTGAGATTGTCAATTTGTTTGGAGAGATAGAAGTGAGATTAAAATAAATGTGAGATTTATTATATGTTGTGTTTATTTTGGAAGATGAAGGGAGAATTCATAATTTTATGAGATTATGATGGATTTTGGTGTTAGAATTGAGATCGAGGAGGTAGATATAATATTAAAAAAATTAGTCCTATGAGATTAGGTTTTATTTATTTGTTTTTATTTTTTATTTTTTTATTTGCATATTGGTTTTTTTTTTAAATATTAATGTTGAATGTTTTTATATTTTTTGTTAAGTAAAAATCAAAGTTTTATTTGTTTAATATTTTATATTTCTTTTGTAGGGTAATAATTTAACAATTCTCACATTAACAATTACTATCAAAACAAACATAATTTTATTTAATCCCCTCACTATTAATCCTCTCACTATCAATCTCCTTCATTTTACTTGTAACAACTCAAGTTTTTAATTATTTTATAGAATTTATACTAATATTATTTAATCTCAGTTCGGAAAATATATAATTTATTATATATTATTATGCATAATTTTGTAAAATAATATAATTATTAAAAGTTTAAGGGTCAAAATATAAATAATAATAAAATAGATAATATAAATAATAATAATAATAATGGACATAATAATAAAATAAATAAATAATTTTCTGTTAATATGTGATAACGTATAATTTAATTAAGAATTAATTTATTTATATAATTATATTAAAATATCGAGTCAAAACGTAATTATTTAAATATTTATTTAGGATATGATTGAATCTATATATATTTCAAAAACAACAATGATTCATCCCTCCTTTTCTCCCCACCCCCTTTGATCCCCTCTCTCTCTCATTGGTTACATTTTCTTTTTCTTTTTCTTTTTTTTCCTGCTTCTCCAATCACCACCCGCCACGTAGCAAAGGGGGTGAGGGGTGACCCCCAAAAGGGGGTCCCAAGCATTATTCTTTCAAAAATGCTTCCTACCTCACTGGGGGTCGACCCCCAGTGAGGTGTCACTCAGGGATTGGCTCAAAAAAAATGATTTTTTTTTTTTTTTTTTTTTTTTTTTTTTTTTTTTTTTTTTTTGTGTTTTCAGTGAATAGGAGGTCGCCACCTCACGGGATTGACCCCCCATTGAGTGTATGAATCACAACCGTATATATTTATGACGAATCTGGAAGGAGAGAGATGCTCGGCCACGTGTTGGCCGAGGAGTGGCGTCACCTCCCTATAAGTAGGGAGAGTGATCAATCTGGAAGAGGGAAAGAAAAGAAAAGGAAAGAAAGAAGAAAAGAAAAGACGAAAGGAAAGGAAAGGAAAGAAAGGAAAAAAACATAGTGGAATGTGAAAGGGTTTTTGATAGTAGAGAGAAAGAGTAAGGTATTAAAGTTAAAATGAGTTATATTATACTTTGAGTTACTAAAATGTATTTTACTTATGTTTTGACTTACCAAAATCTATTTTATATAAGTTATGTTTTATTAGTATATTTATAAAAGTTATGTTTTATAAAGGTTTCAGTTATGTGGATTATTTTATGAACCCTATTTGCTTAAAAGGAAATCTATGGATATATTTATTTTACTTTTAAAGAATATTTGGCTATGACCTTATATGAAAATATATTTTGTGAGTACCACCACGGGAGTCCCATACTTTGGGAGACTTAAATAACCATTGGCTAGTGAGTCTCATGTCTTGGGGGACTTAAATAACCATTGGCTTAGTGATTGACCACTTTGTGGTCCAGTGTTTGTCATGGATCTATTGACCAATGTAGTGCTTGACACTTAGTGATGCACCGTGGTTATGGTTGTATAGTGATTTCCGTATTATATGTTAAATGATCTCCGTATTAAATGATCTGAAGTATATGTCAAATGTTTTCCGTATTATGTATGTTAGTATAATATTTCTCACTCTGCCATGAGCTTATAGTTTTTTTTACCACTTTCTGGTGACATGTCGGGACCAGCGTGTGTGGTAGGCACAAAGCACTTTTATTGATGTATTTTTTTTTATGTAAATATCGGCCTTTTTAGTCAATATATTTTGTAATAAAAATAGAAACTCTAATGATTATTTTAGTACCCTTATTTAAATATTTCTTCTGCTTGCGTTTATTAATTTGTTTAAAGATTTGGTCGGAGATAACCTCGGTTACTGGCCATCACGATGCTTAACCCTTGGGTACGGGGAGCGGGTCATGACATTACCTCTCAAAACAAACGGGGCCCGAGTAAGTTATTAGACAATCGTAGCTAGAGAGAGAAACTAAAAAGAAAATGGAGTGTTATGGAGTGTTTTGAAAAGATGGTTAAAAGTTAGGATGTGTTTGATTCAAGGGATTAGGGAGAGATTAAACATTGTTTAGACTTGAATCCATTGGAGGGAGATATCTATCATTTGGTGCAACTTTAGTCCGCTAGACATGGAGTCTGGCCGGACTCCATATCCCTCATATGAGGGACTAAATAATCCTAGGAGGTGTCATTATTTCCATGGAATTAGTCTCGCATGAGACTAATGTGTGAAATGTTCATTTTACTCTCATGTTATTATTTAGTAAACAATTAGAAAATGATAAAATAGTCTTTTGAATATTTATAAATTATAAATTAAATTTAATTAACAATAATAAATTAAAAATTATGACCTTAAAAATTAAATTTTTTTAGTGTTGTTAAATTAAATAATAAAAAATTAAAAATATTTATAAATTAATTTTTTTTAGTGTTGTTATTACATTTTTCTCTAGTTTTTGAACATTTATAAATTATAAATTATAAATTTAAAATTATATATTAAATAAAAAAATATTAAATATATATAAATTTAATTTAATTAAAATAATAAATTATAATTTATGGCCTTTATAAATAAATTTTTTAATGTTTTTAAATTAAAAATTAAAAATTATAAATTAAAATTTAAAATGATATATTAAATAACAATATATAAATTATAAATTATAAATTAGTAAGCGTAAAATAGTCTTTTAATACATTTATTTCTTGACACCCAAATTTTTAATTTAATACCATGATTATATTAATTACTCATACGATATATAATATATATATATATATATAAAAAGAAATGATTAATATAATTAATAATAATAATAATAATAATAAATAATTAATAATAATTAATTAATAACACCCTAAATATTTGGAAATATTAATTACCATAATCTAATAAAATAAAATAATTAATGTTATGGTTGTTGGTGATAAAATGTAATCTAATTAGATTATTAAAACCTTAGGCCTAATGCAAATTAAATCAAAGGTTAAAATATATATATATATATATATTATGGTTTATCACCATTCTAATATATGGGATGGTGGCTAAGTAATTTACCAACTTAGGCCACGTAATAGTCACGTGAAGGAAGAGGGAATGCCACCTAACAGGTGGCCAAATTTAAAGCAACCTACTTGGTTTGAACCCATGCAATCATGCTTATAAATAGGAGCAACTATAGAGAAAAATACAAATCTAAGGAGTAGCGTGAGAATAACGAGACAATCATAAGAAAGTAAAGATTAAGGATTGATATTAAGGTGAGTTATATTATACCTTGAATTACTATAATATGTTTTCTATATGTCTTGAGTTAGTATAATATATTTTACGAATGTTTTGAGTTACCACAATTTATTTTATATAATTTATGTTTTATGGTTATGTTAATGTTTTAATTACGTGAATTATTTTCTGAATTTTATTTGCTTAAATTGAAACCCATGAATATGTTTGTTTAAATTTTAGAAATTATTTGACAAAGATTTTATAAACAATTATGTTCAGTAAATATCACTACGGGAGTCTCACGACTTGGGGGACTTAAACAAACCATTGGCCTATATCTGGCCACCTTGTGGTTCTCTGTTTGTCATGAATCCATTGACCCCTGTTCTGATTGTCACTTCAATGACCCCTGTTCTGTTATGTTTTGTACAGTGGTTATAGTTAATTACGTCATTTCAGTATTTCAGTTTCTGTCATTTAAATAATTTGTTTATGCAACTTAAACGATGTTAATGTTTTACCTTAAATAACTATCCATATATAGCTATTTTGTATCCCTATACTCACAATATAATATTTCTCACTCTGTTATGTGCTTATTGCTGTTATCCCTTTCAGGTGACGAGATTTAGCAGGATCAAGATGGGGGATAAACCACAGTATTTTTTTTTTCTCTTTTTGTAATATCTGTATTTTTTGTTAGACTCTCATAATAAAATAAAAACCCAAATGACTATTTTTTTGTTTCTTTTTAATAAACTTTTAATACCCAATTATTTTATTTTAATTTATCCGTTGCACTACTACTACAGAAATTTTAGAATTATTTTATTTTTATCTTGTTACGACGCCGAGCATTTGGATACTAGATTTGGGTCGTGACATATTCTTATCCAGTCCATCCAATCAAATATTAGATCCAATAAAATAGTCTTTTCCAGACATCTAATCCTATAAAAAAAACAAATATAGGCTACATATCCAATCCAACCAAATAGTCCAAGGGATTTTAGTCTCAGGATTCAAGTCCGATAAATTCTAATCTCCCCTTATTCAGTCCGTTCAATTAAATACACCCATTTTTTTGACTTTTTTCATTGTTTTATGTGAGAAATGATGTGACCAAAATGAGTTAAAAATTGACTTTTGACTTTTTTAGTGTGTTGCCAAAACACCCCTATATAGAAGTTACCTTTTTAATTTTTTAATTTTTAATGATATTTTTTTAAATTCATGTGATTTTTTTTTTTTAAATTTGAAAATTTTAAAAATTAGGGTAAATCACATTGACCTTTTTGAGGTTTTGGAGAAAATATAACAAATCTCATAATTTTAATATAATTATACTGATCACATTTTTAGTAAAGCTGAAAAGATGGAAATTAATGCAAATAGTGTGAAGACATAATAATAAGTCAAAAAAATATGACTAATGATATACAAATAAAAAAGTCATA